TGATGGTGAATGAAATTTATAGTTTCGTTGTGATTTCTAAGAGCCCAGCTATGCATTTTGAATTCAAATTCATGGCCAGGCATGGTTGTGCACACCTGTAGTCCTAATACACTGGGAAACTGAAGGGGAATTGTAGGTTCCAGCCCAGTCTTGGTAATTTAGCAATTTAGCAAGACCCTATCTCAAAATTAAAAAAAAAAATTTTTTTAAATGAGGCTGGAGATATACTTAGCTGAAAGCTTTTAGGTTCAATCCCCAGTTCTGAGAAGAAAAAGAAAGAAAGAAAGCCAAGTTTGCCTCTTCTCTTTAAAAAAGTACAATTTGTTAGATCCTGGTACTGGGAAAAAAAATACAATTTACATGTCTTTGTGACATCTTCTTCTTTTTAAATTGTAGAACAAATTTTCTTTGAATTGCTAAATTGCTCAGGCTGAGTTGGAACTTGTGATCCTCCTGCCTCACCCTCTCGGGGTGCTAGGATTACCAAACTGTACCACCTTGTCTAGCTTTTTTGTGACATCTGATTATTGAAAGTAACTTGTAACATTTCATGAGGAAAAAATGGATTCAATTACATTCCTAGACAGGTTATCTACAAGCCATATTAGTACTGTGTTATGATAACTTTAAAACAAATAAATTTACTAAACAGGCAAAGTAGTCTGTCAAAACCTTGAACAAATTAAAATTCTTGGCTCTCAGGACTACAGAAATCTTGGAGGCAAAATTTAATGGGGAAATAATCAGAATTGAGCCTAACGTTAGTCCTTGGGAATGGTCATTATTTTAATGCATAGTGTCCAAACAGTTTCAAGGAGCTAAAGATATATCCAGAAGAAAGCATTTGACTATGGTTCAATGTGATGGGTTAGTTATGTCAACAGAAATCCTTAAGGCTCTCCAGTGACTGCTTCAGCCAGTCATAAAATTAGCATTTCCAAAGCAAACTATAATTAGGTGTATGATTGCTTTAGGGAAAAAAGAGCTACTTGTTCAAATAAGCCTGGAAAATACTGCAATCAATATGCTCCAAAGAATGAATGACATATACTTGCCATATTAAAGTCTTCAAAGGATTCTTTCAGGGAGAAAAAAACCTGTTTAATCTTACTTAATTTAATTTAGCATTTCCTAGATTTATCTCATCAGGAAATCAAACTTTTAACTTATGAACTACACCTTTTTAAAATGCTGATTCTATATAATTAGGAAAACAAATTTTCCACAGGCAGTACTTATAGAAGCTTATTGAACATTATTTTGCAGCAAAGGGATGGAGACTGTTTCAACACATGAGTTAGAAGGAAATAATCTGTGAAAATATCCCCAATTTTTGGATCTTCTAGACATCTTTTCAAGGCCTATAACATCGAGGTAAAGAGAGTTCAATCCTCCCTACAGGCCTGGGTTGGTTAATCCACCACTTCACAGAAAGGAAGCAAGTTATGCAGTACCTAAGGATAAAGCAATTTTTTATTCAATATTTTATTATTAATCAAATCTGCTCACAGTCCCCAAACAATTAAGGTCATGAGGTTCGATACCACAGGAAATTTAAATTTAGATCATTTGTAAGTGCATGGTAACAAAGGCCAGTTTAAGCCCTAACATAATTCATTGACAAATGTAACTTCCAAAGAAATAAAGAGAAAAAAATCTACATTAAGAGCAATCTTTTCCACAATCCATGATGATAGAACACATCAGAATGTTTCTATGGAAATTTCTATTAAAAGCAATTTTCTCTTAAAAAAATTAGGACATTCTCTAGAACCATTGGAATTAACAAAAAATATCATAATATTAGAAGTAAAGGATGCAGTGTTTAAAGACCAATGTTTTCCCATATTTTGCTTAGTTTAAATCATGAAGACTGTGAATTTACCATTTTGAAATAATTTAATTGAAAATAATTCTGTTTTTCTACAGCTTCTACCTGCACAGAATTCTAATTTAATTTTCTATGTTTTCATTTCCTTTCTTTTATTTTTTACATTTTCAGCTATTCCCCCAGATACTCACTTTTATTGGGAAGAAAACTCCAAATATTTTAACGTTTTAAAAATTTTTATCATTTATTAGTATGTGTTTACAGTATATAATGATTCCTCATGGGAAATCACACCTTTTCTTATAACTTCTATGGACTCACAAGTACAATTTCAAAAAATTTGGGCATCTGGTTTCCTAGTTCATATGCACATAGCAATACACTTCAAAAATATAAATGGAGTTTAAAAATTTCTAAATGTTGTACAGCTTGAGAAAAACTTTTTTTTCATTAAGTTTATTGGTACTTTTCAGGTATATAGTACAGTTGCATTCATCATTGGGATCTTGTTCTTTTACATGATGTATCTTTGTTCTTATTTTTTTCCCCATACCTCTGCCCTTCCTTTACCCACTCTACCCTTCCCTATTTACAGAGACTTTGCTTCCATTTTTTCCTTTTCCTATATTTTTTACTTTCCCTTCTTTCCTTTCCCCTACCATTCCCACCTCTACTCCTTTAGCCCTGGGGAAAACTTTGAATCCTAAAAGTTATGGAACATGGTAACTTTGTTTTTTTTGTAATAGTCATCTCACCTTGAAATATAGGCCTTTTAATTATTTGATTTATAAATGTCAGGGCACATCTGGAGGAACTATACTAATAGTTCTGAAAATGTTCTGTATCAAAAGATGTCTTTCTGGGCCAGGGATTTAGCTCAGTGGCACAGCACCTGCCTTGCAGGAGCAAGGTCCTGAGTAACCCTGGAACAAAAAAAAAAAAAAAAAAAAAAGGAAAGAAGGTCTTTGTTCAGATGAAATCTTCAAAGGAAAATAAAAGAAAACATAAAATTGATGGTTTCATTAAAGCAGGATGGGGTATGGGTAGACTACTCTTCCTTTATGGAGTGTGGGTAATTTATAGTACTGTATCAGTCTATGAGTGACACAGATTGCTTTCAGCTCAGCCCCCTGATTCAGGCTTCCACCCTTGTTTACGATGCGTAGTAAAAATATACTCAAAAGTGAAAGTTGTTTCTTACATGTCCATAAAAATACCCAGAGTTCAACACAAATATAATATGCACAATATATCAAAGAAAGCAGTCCTGGTGAGTAAAGCGACTATCATGATGGATATTATTAGCAGCAGGCCCCTATAGAGACCGATTTTGCTGCTTATCAGCAGGAAGACCGGCCAGTAACTGCAGCATCAGCAGGAAGTCCCATCACCCTTCCTCCTTAAGTTTCACAACTTTCAAAGCCTTAGTTGTAAAGGAACTGAGAAAAAGAAAACTAAAGAGGCCCCCTCACTAGCTTATATTATGTTTCTTGAGAACAATTAATATATACCATGGGAATATAAGTACTTGGGAGACTATGACAATCTATGAATGTCTTATACAATAAATGTACAATTACTCTCAGGAAAAAAAATTCAAAACAAATAATGACAAATATATAAATATATATAATGGGAGTCACAGAATAGCAAATATATCACACAGGGTCTGGTGAGGATAGCAGAATTCCTATTGAGTGCTTCATTGAAGAGGATTTCATATCAGAAATGATAACACAGGTGTTGGAGTCCCTGAAAGCAAAAACCAGCCACCTGGTAAACCCAGAGGTACCAAGAACAGGAAACCATTACCACCAGGGTTACTGCAATAAAAGGGAATGAGTGGAGGTTACTAAAGTAGTAGCTTGGAGAACAGTCCTCATCCTCTCTGGCTGGAGTGCGCATCTCTGATGTGTGCTATGAGATTGTTCTGAAAGTGCTGAAGAGGGGGAATAAACGATCACTGTTGGAGTAAAGGTATCATAGGCAGAACAAATGAGGGAAGAGGGGGGTTCCCTGCCCTCTGTTCTCCCTTCTAGACTCCATCTATTCCGTCTATTGGGAAAAATTAAAGCACCAGGTATCGTAACCACACTATACAGAGGCATACAGGAAGGTGGATTCATGGCAGAGATATAATAGATAAATAGAGCACTAACAGAAAAGAGCTGTGTGTGACCATTATTATGTCCTGTTTTTTTATCTCCCAGGTTGGTGTGTTAGCATTGTTGCATTGGTGACATTTTTTTTCCTTCAGTTGTGTATTGTTCAAACTTTAAAGTTGAAAAGCATAAAAGAGATAAATGCCTTGTACAATTCTCTCAAAAGAAAAAAAAAACATTGATAAAACAATGGCAAAACCATTAGTTCAGAGAGATTTTTTTCAACACTCAGTTTTATAAATGGATATAATAATATTGAGTGACTTTACTGAACATTTGGAAGATAGGCTTTTTGGTAACTTTAGACACATCAGAAATTATTTAATATTAGAGGTTTGATTGATAATGCCTGCTCCTAAAATTTACTTAGACTAAAATATAATCCCCTGCTTCCTAGGACACAATAATCTGCAGTCTCAACCAGGCGCATTTGAAGGCAGTGTAGTCTATTAATTATTTATTTATCTTTGAGAAAAAATTTTGGCCCTATCCATCAAGGCATAGATTACAAAACAATGTGATACATCTTTGCTCTAGAAAATTACAATTGAGGTATATAAAACTAGAAGTGAGATACTTTGATTTCCATAACCACTAGTTAAAATTTCCTCTCATATTTGGTATTTGAAAAAAATGAATTCTGCTGTTTTAATTCAAAACATAAGTGATTAGACCTTAAAGCCAAACTGCATAGATGGTAACCCCTACACTAAGCCTAAATTGTCAGTTCACTCTGTAGATATTCCTTTAACTTATACTATATCAGTCAGAGACTAAACAGGGGTGAAAAAGGATTTGTGGTATTCAGGTTTTATACAGTTGTGGAAACAGTAGAAAAGTATGGAAGGGAGAGATAAAAGGAAGAGAAGTTTACCAACAATTGACCGGAGTTGATAAATTAGGACCATGAGGAGGCTACAGGAAGTTAACTGTTTTCGAAAGAAACCAACTGTGTAGGTACACTACCAAGTGTCTGGAGTATGACTGAGGTTACCATTGATCCTCAGGGCCAGTAGATGGGAGGAAGACCTGTGAGCTGAGCAGAGAAGAATGAAGACACCCGGAATTTACAGAGAGCCGCTCCACATGTCTGTCACCTCCTGTGACTGCCAAACAACTGTCAGAGAGTAACTTCTGCTGCATCACCTCCATTTTCCCAGCCTGCCGTACATAGGTTCTTCTTTTGGCTAATTCTTGAGGTAAGGGGACCATGTAGGTAAGGGAATTCCAAGAAATATAAATTTTAGTTTAATGAAGATGACCTAATTGTATGTCATAGACTGTCTGAACAAGAAATGGTGCTGAGCAATCTTCTGTAAAATGGGAAACAGTGTTGGGGAAGATGAAAAGGCACAAAGCATATAAAGCTTTTAACAGTGTCTGCTATAAGAAGGGCACTCAAAAAACAATTTTTACTGCTCAAGCATAGCCAATAAATAAAAACAAAAGCTTATATATAT